TCCCTGTCTGCCTTTGTCAGGCCGGGGTCCTGGGTTTCCTGTTGAGGTGCCGCCCCAGTCCATAGACAAGGAAAAGAAGATACAAACTTGTTATTGAAAGCCTATATCTATTAATTTCTATTATTGATTTGCCTATTAAGTGAGTAAAGGGAAACAGGCATGGTTGATATATTTCTTAAAGAATCAAAAAGCCTTTGGGCTAAAGGTCCTCTCCCCTCTCAGACTCTAAGGGCCCTGTCTGGCCTAACACCATTTCCGATAACAATGGGCTGATGACCCTTATCAATAGCCAGAGGACCGGAGTCACCAGTTTCATGGTAATTATCTGGATTTGAGGGAGAGGGCCTTTTTTCCCAAAGAAAGGAGGGAAGAAACTTAACTAGGTTTACTAAAAAAGATTAAGAACTCTGCAAGAGATGTCCAGTATCATTTCCTGTGAAAAGATTAAGCATTTTACAAGTGATGTCCCATATCAGATATAGAAAGAAGGTGGGAGGAGAGGGTAATACCCACGCTGCTTCTAGAAGCAGCACCTGGTTGTGACCACTCACTACAGTTTTCTTCTTAGCTCTCTTCCTGGGTGGAGGATGTCTTTCTTTTCTTAACTAGTTGGGTGGGACTACTTTTATCATGATTGACAGCCCCCATGGTTTCTGTCATTTCCTTTATACTCCTTTTGGCTTATAGTTAGAAGTTCTAGGTTTTGACATTATTTTGTCAGTCTTAGTTTTTAGTGGTGGCTTCTGTTTTGTGTGTGTTCATGTTTATATTGGCAAGGATTTGGGAGAAATGATATCAAGGATTGTGCTTTAGATGCCGTTTAAAAACAAACTTCATATGTAAAAATGTCAATAAAAATTTGTTAAAACATGTCTTTCCTAATCCAACTGAATGATTTATGTTGCAGGGAAAAGGACTTGGAAGCCAAATTTATTATTCAAATGGAGAAAAGCAAAACAACAATCACAAACTTAAAGGCAAGTCACAACCTGGCCTTGCTCCCATTCCGTGAGTCCCCATGTGTGTTTTGTCAGAATGACTTGTGGATAAGTAAAATGCTTCTGCCATTTCCACACTCCTTTAAATTAGCCACTCCTCTGTTCAGTTAGCCGCGTCAGCTTGCCCTTGAGTTGGCTTGGGCTCAGGCTCAGCCACAAATCAAGAATGTTGATCCTCTGTTTCCTCTCCTATTTTTGGTTTCATTTGACCTGAAAACCAAACCCAAGGTGTAGCCCTGGTATGTGAGTTCATTCATTGGCTTAGCCCAGACCCAAGCATTTTTAGCCTGTATCCTGTGGTGGATCCTTAGTCTGGCAATTGACTACATTTTGTGAATCATTAAATAAGCTTTGGCCCTAGGTTTATTTTCATTTTTAATCAAAATAGTCATTTTATAATCTTTGTAAGAGGAGCTGTTATTATTATTCAAAACTCAGAGGATGAAAGATAAAAAAAATCAATTTTTTTTCCTGAAAAAAATTGATAAAATAATTTTCTAAGATGACAAATTCTTCCTTTTGCTCTTAAAATATCTTATTTGTTGCTTTGGTCAGTGAATTTGTTAAGGACCCTGAATACTTTTCACTTAGGGAGGAAATAAGGGTGTAAAGTTAATAATAAAGAAATCACCTGCTTTATGGACTCAACCCCTTTTTCCTTCGATATTTGTTGGAAACATACAGGTAGGTTTGCATTTCTGAGGCCTGCTGCTTCATGGCCAAGTGCAGATTGGCCTCAAGTTGGATTTCTTTTAATTTTTGGCTCAAGGGACTGGACACTTTGAAATCTAATTTCATCTTGATCTCCAGTGATAGATGCTGGGGAATGCTATCTTCCAGTTGGGCCATGCCCTGGATAATTTGATAGGCTTCCTTTGAGGCTTTGGTGTCTCTTTGCCTGAGGCATTCTCCAGTGGAATGTCTTTCTTTCTCCACTGACCACAATCCTTGTACCTTCTGGCTCTGTCTGGCCTACACTTAGCTTCCCCTCCTTCGACCTCCCACTTCTCACCTTTCTGCCAGTAACCACTTGTCCCTTTCCTGCTGTTAGTTTCCTAACTTTTACCTGCTGTGGTAAAAGTTTAATCATTAAAAATCGTATTGACTGAAAGAGTGAGAGACCTCTGGCCTTGGATGAATCTCCTTTATTTGTGCATAATGGAATCTGTTTTCCTTGATTACTCTGTTGCCTTTTGAGTTTTACAAACATTTCCTCAACTGATATACCCAGAACAGACACCCAGACTTTTAACATTTTTCTTTATAATATCTGAATCATGTTGGGAAAATATGATGCTCATAGAGTTTATTCAGCATGTGTCCAGGGAGCTGTGCGAGTCTTTGGTGACATATGAACATTTTTAAATATGGTTTTTGGTTCACTTAGGTTTAGAGCAAGGTAGACGAGATATGCAGACATTTGCAGTAATATGCTATGTCTTGGGAGAGTCTAGTCTTTCAGAGGTGGGGGGGAATTACTTCCAGAAGAGTGCCCAAGAGTTAGCATCTGACATGAAGTATTTTGGGGGGAGGCACCCACAAAAATCACACAACTCTAAGGGGCTCCAGTTACATCCTAATCTATGTGACTAGCACCCCCTAGAGTTGTGCAGACCCCAGCTCTGGTGGTTTTGGGTGGAGGGAATAGTAAAAAGCATCAAAGACAGGAAAAAATAAAGTCTGGCTGGAGTGTTGGGTTCATATAAGGTAATCATGATAAAAAGTCTAGGAAAGTAGTGTTAGATTATATCATTGATTGACCATGGATTACTGGGAGGACTTTAGGTTTTATTTACTTATTTTTGGAGGATCAAGAGGAATTAAATGCTTCTTAGGATGTAAACATGGAAAATGGTGATGGTTGTATATTTTTTATAGAGTATTTTTTTAATTGGATCACTTCTCAACTGACAGTGCTCTTTACTTTATTATTATTCTATTATTATTATCATAATCATCTCTCTCTAGATACCAGAAGGAGGGACTGGGGACTCAGGAAGAGAGCGGACCAAGACCTTCACTTACGACTTTTCTTTTTATTCTGCTGATACAAAAAGTCCAGATTATGTTTCACAAGAAATGGTAAGATAGTTTCAAAATCTTTCTTTTGGTTTATTTTCATATTGAGAAAAACATGCTTACCCTAAAACTCTTAAAACATCTTACTAATTTTTTTCTGAATATAATTTTAATTTATATAAAATTAGCCTTTGCTAACTTAGCTTTTTGGTTGTTATGTAGCACCATTTATCTTAAGACTGAGAAGAATAAATTCCCCAAAGTTTGTTTGTTTTTTTTTTACCCTTTAAGCATGATGATCATAACTTTTATTTAAAAACTTTGACACCACTATTTTGAAGGAGCTCTGCAAATAACATGTATTCTAGGGGGACACTTATATGCTGCTAATCTTGGCAAATAAGCCACTTATCCTTGCGTCCTGCTGGCGATGCAGAGTTTTAGGAGGTAGACGGTAACCCCAAGCCACATCTCCCCTACTGAAGTGGATCATTAAGGGTTCTAGAAAGAAGAATTCTAGAAAGAAAGAACATTTTTTTGTCCAGAATCTTTCTAGAAACCAGAGTGAAGCTGGAATTTGTCCGTGAAACCTGTGCTATATGGCCTTTTATGATCTAAAATGTCGACATGACATGGGCAGGTAAGAACAGACTCAAAATCCTCCCAGGAGACCATCACGTGTTTTCATTTCATGTGAGCAGAGAGAAAAGGGTGTTTCTCTGGGAGGGGAGGATCAAGGAGGTTGTTTGAGCAGAGGCGGTTATGGGTGGCACCAGTGTGTGGGGGAAGAACACGCTTTACAGCCTAGGCCTATTCCTGGCTTGTTAACTGCTTCTTTAGATACATTACTTCAGGCATCTATGTGTTAAAACAAGGATAAGAATTCCTGTCCAGCATGACTTGGGTTGTAATCCATTCAGTGGCATCTCGAAGTGCTGTTCTTGACTGGTTTCTTGGAATTTGATGTGTCTGCCAGAATCACTGGCATTGCCTGGGAACACGTTAGAGATGCAGAATCACTGGAGTGATCCCAGACCTGCTGAATCAGAGACTGCATTTTTTCTAGCACGATCCCCAGGTTATTTGCATGTACCTTAACATTTGAGAAATTTAGTTGGTTTAGAAATGGATTATGGAGGAGATTAGCTTTCTGAGGCAATGTAAATATTGGTGTTTAGGTTGTGAACTTAGAGAAGTTGTTCAAAGGAGAGAACTGGAGTGATTATATCCAGAATATATTGGTTCAGCATTGGGAGAGAATAGAAAGGACAATAGCAATATGAGTGGGAGTTGTAAAGAGACTTGAGGTGCCAGGTATGAAAGAAGGTCCAGGAGAAGAAAGATGAACCATTGCTGCTTGAGTTTGTTTGCATTGATGTCAGAAACTGCTTGGTGCTCATGTGTGCTATCTCGTTTATTTCTCATAAGAACTAAAGTAGGTCAACCTTAGCTTAATTTTCCTTTGTCTAAGAGTTACAGTGAGTTCAAATGACTTGCTCAGATCCATAGACCTAATTGACTCAATAGTAGCAGAGTTGAGATCCTGGGACTGATGTATAGGGCCTTGGGGATGCCACTGGAAAGTCTTAAGGATACGAGAAAAGGCTTGGTGTGTTCTAAGTGAAAGATGGGTATGGTAGCCCTGAGTAAATGAACTAGTGAATGAGTGAAGATAACTTTGGTGTTGAGGTAACTGGATTAATCAATGTTGGTAGCTAGGCATTTGGTGAGGAATAGACTGTTATAGCTATTGGAATCTGAATTTTGGCTTTAATATAAGAATGGAAATGAAGTGGGTGGTCAAAGGGAATTTGTGAAGGGAAAAGCCAGTTCATTGTACAGTCTTTAGAATGTCTTCAAAGGAGGATGAATGAAGAGCCATGAGGATCTCCACTTCTAACTTACCTAATGAGTGGCTGGATTTTCCCTTTATATAACCAAAATGTGAGGGCTTTTGGGGACAGAGGGCTGTGTCGAGGAAAAGCCCAAGGACAGAAGGTAGAGCTGTGTGTGACAGCAGGGCCTGGCACACTGGAGATGCTCAGTACATGTTTGCTGATTGAAACAACTCCTTTAGGGATGGTGGTTAATTTATGGGAACAGATGACATTTCCTGGGTTCTTGTGCAAGAGTCAAGATCAGGGAAGCAGTAACAAATTTAGCTCTTTTGAAAGTTAAAAATAAATGCCTAGGATTTTAAAATGGTTTTAGGTTGTGAAAGCTTTCAACTGATAAGGATAATTTTTATGCTCAGGTATGTGCAGCATCTTTTCTCAGAGGCTTCAGGTTCTTTGACATTATATACATAACCTGAGATTGTTCTATTACATTACAAAACTAAAAAAGCCTTGAGGTATGTTAGTAAATACTATTTTCTAGTACAACTATGTGTTAATAAAACCAGCAAAGATACAGAAAAAAATACCTATTTTTAAGCATTCTATTAAAGAAAAGATAAATTTCCCTCATCCCTAATTTTAATAGCTGTTGTTACTAAAAAGGGCTTCAATTTTGAATATTGACCAATGTTTTCATGCTGCCATATTCATCGTGAGAATTAACCTGACAGGTTGTATCCCTGCTATAAACAGAGGAAGATGCAAACTTAGCATAATGTCTTGTTTTTCTTCTCCTCCTCTTTCCTCTTCTTCTTCCTCCTCTTTTATCATTTGAATTTAAAAGCATCTTGAGCAAATATATCATGCCTGTTACCAAATTCAAGTCAATTTTCCTCAATGTTAAACAAATACCAAGTAAGGTGACCATTAATATTTCTTCCTTTCAAGTTAATTTTAGATTTAGAAAAAAAAAATCAGTGAGCAATTTAAATCTACACTCATGTAAATTAAAGATCATTGAAACGAAGTCTAATTTTCTGAACGGTTCTTTCAAAACTTCAAAGGGAGACTTTAATCTCACACAACCTGTTCCTTGATTCAACTCTGGAGAAACTTGAAACCTAAAATCTCAGTTGACAAACTGGATGGGAGTCTTTTAACAGTGCCCTCTTGTGGGCAATTCCCCTCAAGTGAGGCCCCGAGGTACTTGAATTACTCTGGAAATCAGCCTTAAAGTCTGTGTTCAGACAAGCAGCAAGGTGGCTTTTAGGTAACCTGGACAGGTGAGGATCTCAGCGGGGTTTGATGCCAGTGGGGAGAGCAGGTCGTTGGTTTCATAAAGCAGCTTGGTAGGTAACTCCTTTGTGGGAGCTGCGATGGGGTAGCGTGTTTTTCTTGCCAAGAACCCCTGAGGTGCGGACAGTGTCCTCCTGCTTCTCTGAGTTCCAGCTGACTTTGGGTGGGTTACTTGAAGCTGGGACTGAGCCAGGCCTGGGTCTTAGCACCTTCAGACGTGCATTTTCTAGGCCTGTTTTGCAGGCCCCAGCACCTCCTGGACCCTCTGAGTCTGTCAGAGAACTCCAGCTGAAAATAAAGTAGTAGTAAAATTAGTTATGGATTTTAACCCGAGGGAAGAATTTCACTTTGAAAACTTTTGAGTTTAGTTTAAATATGATATTTTGAATGACTTTGTTTTAGCTCCAGACAAAAGTATGAGAGAAGCTCCTTCCTTTATTCTTTGGAAGTTTATAGAAGGCTGTTCTTCCTATCCAGTGGCAGGCACTCTGTGAAATGGTAAAAATGGTACATGCCTTTTATTTAATCAGAAGGAATTGAATAAATATTTAGAGTTTTTCCTCATATTCCATATACAGTGGTTAAAACAAACCTCAGACAGTGGTCTGGTACCTTGAGTCTCTCCGAGATTGGTGGCTTCTGCCACCAGTTTGTGGAGGGAGGTCCTTCCAGGTAGGGTAGGGACCTCATGATTATGTTGGGGGTGTAGGAAGAAGACACATGGCTGTGGGGTCTTTAGAAGCACAGGCTTTTGGGTCAGAAGGTCCTGGGTGCAAATCCCAACTCTGTCACTCACTGTGCATACCCAGTGTGACCTAAAAGTGGATCTAGCCTGTTTTTGAGGACTAATACGTGAATACAACTGTCAGTTGAGAGTTGAATAACTCATCAGAATTTGAGAATAAGATCAGAAAATATCAGTTTCTAAAAGCTGAAATGGATAAAAATTAACTCAGAAGGAATGAGACTGGTCATTTGTGGAAGGGACTCAGTTGAAAGGACAGTTTGTAAATCTTTGACTGATGAGACTAAGGAAGCAAAGTCCAAACAAAATGGCGGGAAGATGGTGCCTGAAGAAAGCTGAAGTTCAGTTGGCCATATTTTTATCTTGTGCTTGGATGGCAGGCTGTATTATTAGCAGAGATGGTTTATGTGAAGACGGCCAGTGTGTTATCAGCCCTGTCTGGGGTCTGGGTGTTCTGGCTGGAGGGTCTAGATCCCTGCTAACCCAGCATCACTCACAGAGACTGAGCACACCTGAAGGGTTGATGAGCCTCCTGTCATGGACTTTGGTGGCCCTACAAAGCAGCACCTCACTTTGTCCAGGCGCTGATGTTATGACCTTATCATAACATCCTCTCTTTAATACCCTTCAGCTGCTATTGTGCTGCATTTTTAAAGTAGGGAGGTGTTTTATGTGCCCATAGTATGCTAGTCCGAGAGGGCAGGGGGCAGCATGAAGGCTTGTGGGGGGTTGGAAAGCTTTGGTCGGTCCCCTTCCCATTTGGGTGTGACTCAAATGAACATGCATCGTGATTTGCTTCATTTACTTCAGTTGTCTAGGTGAAGTATTTGTCCTTCACCCTTTTTTGTTTCCCAGAGTAACACTTTGCACTTATATGGGGCAGAAGGCATGGACTGAGGCCTTTGTAGGTATTATACCAGGCTCCACACAGCTTGTCTCCCAGCCCTCTCCATCCTGGGCAAATATCCAAATAGGAAAAAACATATGGACTCTGACTCGGTGGGGCCCAGCCATCCCCTCTCATCCATACCCAGCTATCAGTCAGCTCTGTCAGAACCTCCAGGGACTTATTTTGATGAAAAGCTGGCCCTTTAAAATGATAGTACTGATTTGGCATGGTTTGGGCAATAACTCTGGCTCCTATGACTTTCAGATTTTGAATATTTACTTTCTGGAAGGTCCGATAGAATGATAAATACTTTTATAAGTTTATTTAATTCTGAAATGCTAAATCATCACATTTTACAATATCTTTGCTTGCAGACATTATTGTCCCTTTGCCTTGTTTCCATTTTTATATTTCAGGGTTTTTTTTTTTGTTTGTTTACGTAAGTAGGAAAAAAGATAGAATTGCTTTTTGCTTACTTAAAAAGTTTCCTTTGGATTAAAAACTGGGGTGTACTCATATATTCTGTTATTAATGGTTCTTCTGTGATTTATTGTGTAATCCTTATGAGATGAAAGTAGCATTCAAAAATATTGTCAATATCGAAGGGGCTTTTATTAAAATCCATGGTAACTGTATCTTTTGTGTGTTTTTTTTTTTTTTGGCTTTCAGGTTTTCAAAACCCTTGGTACAGATGTCGTGAAGTCTGCATTTGAAGGTTATAATGCTTGTGTCTTTGCATATGGGCAAACTGGATCGGGAAAGTCATACACTATGATGGGAAATTCTGTACGTTGTTTACGCTGTGTGGGAAGAAATTTTTTATTAACTCTCTTTGGACTGGTAGAATTGTTTCTTTTATCTACTTGATCTGTACTAACTTGCTTTTCATGTTCTGATCGTTCTTTAGCAATAAGATAAAACTCAGTAATAAGTTGGACTAAATTTCCTTTGAGAGATTTTAAATTAGAAACAGTTTTAAGTTTATAAGCATGAATAATGGATGCAAATCTCAGTTCATTTTCCATTTTTAAAGGCTTTATAATCTTATCAAAATATATGCTGGGTCTACAAGTAATTTATTCTTTTTTTCTGCCAGTACAGCAGTTTGAATAAAATTACTGAACTGTTCTTTCTAAAATTATTCAAAACATTTTTCCCCAAGAAAAATGTAAAAAATATCTAATTCTTTGGTAGAAAAGTCCTACATAAATCCAACAAATACATAAAAAGGTTTAGAATTATACAGTTGATATGGAGTCTATGTAGTTATAGTATGTAGAGCTTAGTAGTTATGCTATATAAATTAACAGATGCAGTTATATTTGCCCCAAAATATGGAGGAATAAAAACTAGGCATTACTGCAGGAACTTTATCTTGTCTGTGCTTTCTCCAGGTCTGGATAGTGCTTGTGTGTTTTACTTTGTTGTGGTAAAAACTGTTCACTGACTCTCAGACCTGTGGCTTGTTCTAGATGTGGAGATACTAGCAGAGAATCACAAGGCTTCCTGCTGGCAGGCACAGTTGTGTCTTTAATGCTACAGGTTTTGCAGGCACGGAATAGTAGTAGTGCAGTCAAGGAACATCAGTCATTCCAGATCAAAGTATTTCAGCGCATACATCCTGGCTTCTAAAGCCAGACTTTTCCTTGACATGTTGAGTAGATAGATGCTGTGTGGAGAGTCCTCAGTGCTGAAAAGTAGGGAAGAATAAGTAGATGATTTTCTTTTATCATTACTTTTCTCTTCTTACTCTCCTATGGTGCCTTTGAGGGCAGCGGGGGGGTGGGGGGACCTTCTCTAAAAGTATAAGTTGCATATCGATTCCCTACTAGCTATTTTATGTAAGTTAAACATTTATAAAACACTCATAAATTACAGCTGTTTGCTCTGACCTTACAGTTGAGACTGGGTATTTAAAAATAATATTTTTTAAAGTAAGAACAACAAATATGGTGAAAGGCTCATTTTTCCTTGATAAGCATTGGTATTGATTTAATGGCATAAGTAAAAAAAAAATATCATAACTGTGATGATATTTTTTTCATTTTTTGGGTGGGGGGGTTGAGCGAAGGTAGGGATATACCTCAAAAGAAAACATTGAAACTCTGAAGTTTTTAGTTTCCTAACGTTCTTAACATGAACTTTTGCCTCATCTTTAGTATCATTCTGAGATTCATCAGCTTGTTAATGCTGACTGAAACATGAAAATTATTGATTATGCCCACCTTGTATAAGTAATACAATGTATTAAAAATCTTGTCTAGGAAGGCCATTGTCGAGATCAGAAGAGGAATATCCTACATGTTTAGATGTAGTTCTGTCACCCAAGTTTTAAGACAATTATTAGATATTTTGAGGATTTACTAAGGTATCTTTAGTGTTTCTTTTCTGCTCAGTGTATATTTCACCTTCTTTGGTCATTTGACCACATCAGATTTTTAACATTCTGTAGCTGTAGACTCTGGTGTTTGAAAGTTACAGAGTAAGTTTTCTTATGTTTGCAAGCCATGATTTAACTGATTAACAGTTTATGACTGTATATTACTATAATATAGTGTGTAGGAATTAGAAAACACAATCCTTTTATTTCAGAGAGTCGGAAGCAGTTCTGGAGGGGTAAATAGTGTGTCTGGGGCCCTTGGTAGTAGACCTGGGGTTGGCGTGCAAACCCCTTGAGTCTAATCAAATTCAGTCACCAGTTGCTTTTATTTCAGGTGATAACTGTTGCTGTTCTTCCTTCCCATTGTAGGGCGATTCTGGCTTAATACCTCGAATCTGTGAAGGTCTTTTTAGTCGGATAAACGAAACCACCAGATGGGATGAAGCATCTTTTCGAACTGAAGTCAGGTAGGGCCCGTGGCCTGTGTAACTGAGTGTGAGCTTGGCTGGAGCTTGCTTTCAGGTGCAAGGGTTGGATAAAGCCTTTGGGTTCCTGAAGGAAGAGTCTGCCTCTTTCTCCTCCTGAACTATAGTGGTTGGAAGTAAAGCTTAAAACATGTTTGTTTTCAATGACTTTCTTGGGTACAGTTTAGAATAAGATTTGAGAGGCTGGTCAGAAACACTAATGTTGGATGCTTTGCTCAAATGGAGTGAGCTTTTGACTTTTAAGTATATACCTTAATTCTTTTGACTGAATAAGGTTTGTTTTATTCTTTACGTTCATAGGATCACTATATATATCATCTTTAAGTAAATCTGTATGGTTGAGTTGTCTTTTCCTCCTTGAACTTGAATCTTTCTGGGAGCCAGTCTCTTCAGTGATTTTGAGGGCAGACATAACAATCTTAAGTCTTCTCGCGGCTGCCTGACCTCTCAGTGGATGCGTGGCCCTGACAAGTTGTTTAAACTACCGTAAACCTCCATTGCCTAATCTGTAAAAAGGGGATAATAGTAGCATTTACCTCTGGGTTGTTGTAGGGATTAATTGAAATAATTGTTGTAGAGTGCTTAGCATAATATCTGATGCCTAGTTACCATCCACAAATGCATGTTGTTGCTGTTATTATTGTTGATATTAATATCTGAAATTATTTTTCTGAATTTAGTTTTATTTAAAATTTTTAGCTACTTAGAGATTTACAATGAACATGTGAGAGATCTACTTAGGCGGAAGTCATCCAAAACCTTCAATTTAAGAGTTCGTGAACATCCAAAAGAAGGACCTTACGTTGAGGGTAAGAGTGAATATTTCACAGCTCTATTCTTCTTGGGAATTTGTGCAAAAACAATAGTTTGAAAGAAAAAAAAAGTAGAATAATGGTGATATTTAAAAAATTTATTTTGGTTATTTATTATGGTAAAAATGACGCGCTATCACTATACAATATTCATTTAATGAATTTTTACTTCACCGAGAAGTCACTGGTTTTGTGGGGTTTGCCAATAGATTTCCTCTTGCTTTAAGAACTCTCTGGCAGTTTTCCAATGTTCTCAGGCATGATAAGTAACCCTACAACTTGTCTTTTTTAAATGGTGTTGTATTTTACTGGTATGTTACTTGGTAATATGACCATAAGGAGATTCTAAGACATCTGAACTTTTGAGAAGGGTGTTTACAGAGTTTCCTCTGCTATGGTTCTCAGCATTTGTGTTGTGATAGTTGTGTCACAGTCAGTTGTGAGGAATGTCACAAGTAATTATGGGTACAGAGTTGGCCTGGTCCTTCCTAATTATTTTGAAAATAGGCTGGATTTAAGGCTCTTCTTGTAATGAAGCTATTCTCACTTTTTCTGCATAAGGTGGCAGAGTGATGGCTGACTTATATGAATCTCTCACAGAAACATGTTACACTGTAACTATGGTTCTTCATGTGTGTCTCATTGGATGCAATGCTGAGAACTAGTCATGGGTTTAAAGATGTTCCTGTTTTGGTTATCCTTTTTACCTGCATATATCAGGTGCACCAATAGGACCTTATCTGCATTTTATTAAATTTCCGATTGGACTTTTGTCTTTTATGCCTAAAGTAAGTTTTGTGACTGTGTATTTGTTTTATGGAGTGTGGAGTAGCTATTATTGTTAATAGTTTTTAGCCTAACTGTACCTTTATGTTTTTTCTTTAATTGTCTTATTGGATAATAAAACATATTATAAAGCTGGTTTATGATAGAAAGAATAATCAAATAGGGCAAAACATCCAGAATCTGAGGTAGGTACATATAGGGATTTAGTTTTTAATAAATCTGCTATTCATACACTGGGGAAATACTGGTTATTAAGTTAATTTTTTCCAGAAATTTGGAGATGGGAAGGCTTTAAAATTTTTGACTTAAAACCCAGAAACCATGAAATAAAAGTATTAAATTTGAAGTGGTAAAAAAGTAAAACTTTATATTTGGCAGAAATATCATAAGCAAAGTAAAAAGACAACTCACGGAATGAGGAAAATATTTTCAATTCAAATTTCAGACTAAAGACTAATTTCCTTAATATATAAACAGCTCCTATAAATCAATAAGGACAGACCCAACAGTCAAGTAGAAAAATGAACATAATTTGTGAATAGACTATTCACAGAAATAGAAATACAGATGGTTTTTAAATGGAGGAAAGAACGCTCAGCTTCACTCATAGTCAGAGAAAAAAGCAAAATAAAAATTCTTGAGGTTAACATTTGTTACTTATTTCTTGCAGATGGATATAAGCCTGATATGATAGTGTTGGGAGACAAGCAGTCTTATACATTGCTACTGCTGCGTATAAATTGCTTTCTGTGGAGAACAATTTTGCAATATATGTCAAAATTTCAAATATGCTTTGATCAAGTAATTCCACCTCTTAAAAATTTATGCAGAAATATTCACACACATTTGAAAAGACCTGTGTACAAGATTATTTGTAGCAGCATTACTTGTAATTGGAAACAAAATGTAAACAACCTCTATAATCTCGATAGGAGACTAGTTAAATTGATTATGGCACATTCATACATCGAATGCTCTGTAGCCATAAAAATGAGTGAAGAATCACCTTAACTGATACCGAATATTTTTCAATATATTATTACTTAGAAAAAAAGCAAGGTGCAAAACTATGTTTATGGTATGCTGCCATTTTCATAAAAGGAGACAAAAAGATATTTTTTTTAGTATATGTAATGGCCTGCATTTGTATGGTTTATTTCTAGAAAGGTGTGGAGGAACTGATAACATTGGGAACTGACAACAGAAGAGGAAGTTGGGGGGTGGGTTATAAGATGGGGGTAGGAGGATGCACTTTATACAGTACATTTTTTGTAGTATTTGACTTTGGAATCATGAATCTTTCAAAGAAAATGAATAAAAAATTTTAAAGAGGATTTTAAAAAATGCTTTTAGATTTTTCATGAAGTTGATATTTACATTTCCCTCTGTGCGCTATGATTAATGCTAATAGGGTTGATGATAATAGCTAATATTTATCTCTCTGTTAGGCACATATTATCAGATGAGGTGACTGGGGCATAACCATGTAAGTCCAGTAGGTGAGCAGTAGAGCTGGGATTTGATCCCAGGCAGCCCAGCTCGTGAGTGCGTTATAAACTACCCTGTTGTAGGAGTAAGATCTTCAAACAACAGATTTGTCCAGTTGTGTATTATTTCATAGAGATTAAATTTCTTCTTCCATTTGCTATATATTAGGAAGATTTCTTCACGCCTTCTTTTTTTTTTTCTTCTTCAGATTTATCCAAACATTTAGTACAGAATTATGGTGATGTAGAAGAACTTATGGATGCAGGAAATATCAATCGTACCACCGCAGCAACTGGGATGAATGACGTCAGTAGCAGGTCTCATGCCATCTTCACCATCAAGTTCACTCAGGTAAGGGCAGCTGTGGGGCCGGCTGGCTCTGTCCCTGAGGTCTTTACTTGCTGATTAACACCAGCTGAGGACCTATCATTGTTGAACCAGGAGCAGCAGCAGGCAAAGGTGACTGTCATTTTCTTGTTAATTAGAGTTGAACATGTGCTGTATGCTGAGTTTCTCTGTAGTTACAATCACAGTAATTTGAAATGTCCTGATGTATATACCCTTAAGAAATATTTAGCAGGCTTCTGCCTTGTTCAAGTGGTAAAAAAAAAACTTGCTTTGTGCTTAATTAAGCAAAAGTTTCATTGTTGCAAGCTCTGTGGGAGATAATGGAATGCGAGTCAGACAGCTGGAGGCCAAGGTGAGTAACTCATTTCTGTGCATTATCGCTCCATGGAGCTCACCCCACAATGTTGATTATGATTATTAGAATGATATTAAATACAGTGAACATTTTTAAGTACTAATATAAGAATTCATTCTGATCCAGGGGTGGAGGACATTTTGAATATGTCTGGGAATCAGTGAGGGTAAATATTTTTAATACCTAGGCTAATAGAACAGATTAATGCAAAAAATGTAGATTTCTCTCAGGACTTAACAATAAGTTAGGAGTTCGAGGATGTCCTGGCTTATATTAACCATTGGATATTTCAGATAAAAAAGATAGCATTTTATTAATGAGGGGGGATCAAAGAGCAAAGAAAATGAAAAAAATTCTCTAAGGTCAATCGAATAACTCCCGATAAATTCCTCGCACTGTTATCTTTTGTTAGACCTTTGTTTTTGATTTACTCTACTGCTTTTTCTCCTTTCTGGTTAATGCAGATTAGGATATAGATCTCCCTGGTTTCTAAGAGGCTTATATTTCTATCAAAATATGGTAATTTATCTTTGGCATTTTGGTTCAGACTATAAAATGTAAGTTAACAGTCTTTGGAAAGTAAAATGTTGGTGGAATTCAGAATCAGGGAATATGGTATTTAAGATTTTTTAACCTTTTATAATTTGTGAAACAGATGTGTTAACATTGAACAGTCAAATGATATTTTACATAATTATCTACATTTATCATATTTTGGAGAGCCATTGTGCTTGGAGTGCCGAAGATTCTAGATGAGAACAAAACTATTTGTTTATTTAAATTTTTCTTTGTTTTGTGCCCCTCCATGCCCAAGTTCTTATTTTGTCCCAGTCAGACTCCATAAGCCTTTGTTGAGAAAGACTGAATGATTTGAGTAATGGAATCATTCTTCAGAAAATTTAAGAATCACATATGGTATAATTCTTTGTATTCAATTTAATTTTGGAAGTTTTTATAATCAGTAAGAAGGCCAACGAAACAACACAATTTAAACAAACAAACAAACAAAAAAAACCCCATGCTACCCTGAGATCACAGTGAGGAGAGGAAAATAATTAGAATTTATATCATAAACAACATCAGGGCTGTTTATACTTCTTCAATTTTGCTTTTATGTTTTGCTCCAGGCAAAATTTGATTCTGAAATGCCATGTGAAACTGTGAGTAAGATCCACTTAGTCGATCTTGCTGGAAGTGAGCGTGCTGATGCCACTGGTGCCACCGGGGTTAGACTGAAAGAAGGGGGGAATATTAACAAGTCCCTCGTCACTCTGGGAAATGTCATTTCTGCCTTAGGTAGGTTTATACTTGTCTCCTCCCTCCCCTTATTCTTCATGGTACTGTATTAGCACCAAGCAATTATGTTTAATGTTCAGGAAACCTGAAGCCAAATTAGCGGGGAAAAAAATTTTAATAATTATCTTTTGTTTGTTTGTTTTTTTCTTCCTCCCTGCAGCTGATTTATCTCAGGATGCAGCAAACCCTCTTGTAAAGAAGAAACAAGTTTTTGTGCCTTACAGGGATTCCGTTTTGACTTGGTTATTAAAAGATAGCCTTGGAGGAAACTCTAAAACTATCATGATTGCCAGTAAGAATTTTAAGTTCTTTTTTTCAATATATAGTGTTTTATGTGAATTAACTGTAAATATTTAATTTTAAAGAGTCTTATTAGGAAATAGCACCTTTTTTAGGTAAAAAAACTGTTTTTCTGTCTTGAAGAAAACTACTTTCTATGATTCACTCTGTAGTATCATATTACTATTTTTCTTCCTCTTAGTTCCATAAATGTTCCATTTCTTGGTTATGCAAGCTGAGGTACCTGCAGAATGACTCTCAGCTTTTGTCTGCTAAAAGTACAGGATAGAAACTTTTAACTCCACTAATTCATAGGAGAAAATCATTATAGGGACATAAAGTAAAAATAACCCAACTTTGTTTTATATTTTAAAGCGGTAAATGTGGAATTTTAAGTTAAGAATTGAGAGAGAAAGAAACCAATAAATATACCAAGTTATAATAACCGTAATATACTTATATATTTTCGCTAAGTAACTAAAAGAAGCAGAACAGGAAAAAAAATGTACAAAGGGAGGGTAATTGTTAAGGAGAACTCAAAAACTGTTTTCCTTCTAACGTCACTGTTCTTCCCGCTTTCTCTCTTCTTTTCCCTTCCCATCTCCATGTCTCCTCCACTCTCCATGCCATGTATTAACTAAGTAGGGAAGCTGCCCTGGGGTATGCACCCCAGATGCAATTGTATAGCTACCTAAGCCAACCTTTTTGGCATCAGAGACTGGTGCTCCTATGAGAATCTAATGCCTGATGATATGAGGTGGAGTTGAGGAGGTGATGCTAGCTCTGGGGAGCGGCTGCAAATACAGATGAAGCTCCGCTCACTGGACCACTGCTCATCTCCTGCTGTGCAGCCTGGTTCCTAACAGGCCACGGACCGGTTCTGGTCCACAGCCCAGGGGTTGGGAATCCCTGACCTAGGCCCTAAAGTTTGTGGTAGTGGTGGTGGGGTCTGATTAACCAAAGCCTTAAGAGGAAAAGAATTAACTCGTCTACTAACTCTTTTCAAAAATTATCATGCTCCGGATTTTAATAGGTGGTAGACTTTGCCAGAACTTTAAAAAATATTTTAATTTCTACTTAATATTGAGAAGTACAAATACAGTAGTCCCCCAGAATCCACGATTTTGCTTTCTGTGTTTTCAGTTACCCACAATTGATTTCAGTCTGAAAATATTAAATGGAAAACTTCAGAAATAAACAATTCATAAGTTTTAAATTGTGTGCCACTCTGAGTAGCATGATGAAATCTTGCATCATCCCGCTCAATTCCTCCTAAGATGTGAATCCCTTTGTCTAGCACATCCATGCTTTATATGCTCCCCACCCATTAGTCACCTAGTAGCCGTCTTGGTTACCAGATCCACTGTCCTGGTATCACAGTGCTTGTGTTCATGTAACCTTTATTTTATTTAATAATGGCCCCAAAGCACAAGAGTAGCGATACTGGCAATATGTATATGCCAAGGAGAAGCTGTAAAGTGCTTCTTTTAAGTGAAAAGGTGAAAGTTCTAGACTTAATAAGGAAGGAAAAAAGTTGTATGCTGAGGTTGCTAAGATCTATGGTAAGAACAAATCTTCGATTTGTGTAATTGTGAAAAAAGGAAAAGAAGTTCGTGCTAGTTTTACTGTCACACCTCAAACTGCAAAAGTTACAGCTATAGTGCGTGATAAGTGCTTAGTTAATATGGAAAAGGCACTACCGTCATGGGTGGAAGGCATGAACAGAAAACATGTTCCAGATGACAGCAACGTGTTGAGCCAGAAAGCACTGAGCCTATATACAGACTTCAGCAAGATGTTCCCCGAAACGAGTGACACAGATTCAGCAATAGGTTTAGACTGAAAAATAGAAAAGTTTCTGGAGAGGCTTCATGTGCTGGTGAGGAAGCTGCTGCCACATTTCCAGCAGAGCTGAACAAGTTGATTAGGGTTTGGTACAATCTATGGTTTTAGGCATCCACTGAGGGTCTTAGAACGTATCCATTATGGGTAAGGGTAGGACTACGGTAGTCCTGAAATTCTCTTCTTCTGTATTTTTAACAGAGGAGACTCCCTAAGCTACAGTGGAGTATCTCATATCTCATTCTAGAGTTGGTTAGATGTCTGATTTTATACTTAATGAGAGCAAAATGACATTTAGTATAGTGACACCTTTACTATAAATCTTAGATAATTTTTAATATTCATTACTGTGGCAATGAATATTTAGTCTATCCGTTGACCCGGGGTTAATCTGACTTTTAAATTACAAACCAGCTTTGCGTTAAATGAAACACAGAGTGCCGGATAAATTATTTTTTGAATTCATTCTTCACAGCCATTTCACCTGCTGATGTCAATTATGGAGAAACCCTAAGTACTCTTCGCTATGCAAATAGAGCCAAAAATATCATCAACAAGCCTACCATTAATGAGGACGCCAACGTCAAACTCATTCGTGAGCTGCGAGCTGAAATAGTCAGACTGAAAACGCTGCTTGCTCAAGGGAATCAGGTTGGGTTTTTCTGAGATTTATGGATAATTTTCTTTGAGTAACGGCATATTTCTAGATCTTAATGAGACAATTATCTCATTCAATGCATTGATTTGAGTAAATAAGTGCTAAGTAAAGCCTGAATGAGTTAGCCAGTATCTCCTTTACATCATCGCCCCCATTGGCCTTTACGTTCATTATGTGCTCTGTGTAAGATTTTATCCACTAAACCTGAAATGATTAACTATCTAACAGTTATCAATTATGGATGGAAATTAAGCATGCAGTAGGATTAGCAGCATAATCTCCATTAGTGGAAGGAAATTGAGGTACTTGGAGTAATACTTTAAATTCATGTATTTTGACTTGAAAATAATTTTTAACAGAATGAAAAGCTAGTTTGAACATGTTTCTCAGTCTTTATTTTGTATTACCCATTACAGAGGTGGTTACAGTGATCCAGTGATATGTGTGACATACCTGTGGCCTGGCTGAGATGATGTCCCTGGGGCCTTGTTGATTGTTGAAACAGCCTCAACTCAGGATCTTTTGGGATTCTAGTGAAGCAGCCTTGCCTTTTGTGTTTTTCACAGTACATTTATAATCTGCACAGTGTACATACAGAGTTACACTCTTAACAAATAGTGTGAGTTAGGTTCTTACAGGTTTAGACATTGTTGACATTGTTGTGATGAAAGGCCACTCTTGAAAAAAAGATCAAGGATAGCTATTTAAAATGTTCAAGTTAGATTAGCGTTAGAAATAAAGATATATTTCTTCCTATTTTTCTTAATCTATGAATAGATGTCTTAAATGCATCATTAAAAAATAGTTTTCTTTAAATGCAAAGTGTTTGCTCTGGAGCAGCTTTCTATCTAGGAGTATATGACCCTTGAAACCATTTACATCCATAAAAGATTTGACCTGTGAAAATATTGACAGAATGAAAACCTCACTGAGTTTCCTGTGTCCTGAAATACACCTGACAGTTCTTTCCCCTAAGTTGGCGGACATTAGTTGCATAGGAATTGCTCATTGCATTTGATAATATATCCATTTCCATTTTACTTTTTGATGTGGAGCTTTCCTTTGTGAGAAAGGGAGTTGTCAGAATGAATAGTCCAGCTGTATGTGATGTTATCAGGCTCATATAACTTATGACGTGAACCACAACAGTCATTTTTATTTATACACCTTGTTAATGGAATTTTTTTTTCACTGCTTTCAAAACATTATCTGAAGTAAGCATTTAAGGATGATTGTACAGAATCACCCAAACTACTGTATGTGAATGAAAGCATTTGAAAAATTTTTGTGCAGCTTTTTGTATTTAACATTTTACTAAGTAATGAGAATGAAGAGAAAGAAAGATCAGCCTTTTTAAACTAAACTGAGGAAATTCTTGAAAGGAGCCTTATGTGGTCAGAAAAACTCTGATTTACTGAAACTTTTACAAATTCTGTCTAAAGAATGTCTTCAGAGGTATTGTGTATGCCACTCGCCTTATACTTTGTGGTCTTTTATCTTGTTTCTTTCATGACAAAAGACTACTGCTGTGATTAAAGGAGTATTTTTCTTGCTGTAGTTTTGGGGCTGAGGATGGAAAAGATAGTTAAGTCTATTTTAGAATACACTGAAGATAAAATTCTTTGATAAACTTAATATATTACAATATTACAATAAAAACAGGAGTCCAATTTAAAATAATTTATCATACTGTGAAGCTATAAATTGTTGCGAGACAATACAGCTTATTCTCGATTAATTAAATTTGTGATGCTCAGTAAAATAAGCAGGTGTCCTTAAGTGCCCATTAAAAATCTGTTTAAATTTTTCTGGAGACATTGCCGTATTCCCACAATATTTTATTCTAAATGCTGCCATGGTTCATTGAGAATGCTACTCAAAAGTTTTATTTCTAGAGTTATTTTCATACAGCTTTAAATAAGAATCAACTCCTATTTTTAATAACTTTACGTATTTGCTAATGCAAAATCTCATGTGTGTCAATTTTAAAAGCTTCTACTAAATAGATATAGATATATAGATATATGTGGGATAGTTTATACATGTATGTGAACTCTTTATTGAAATATTATATATGTCTCCAAAATTACCTATTATAAGTACACCGATCAGTGAATTTTCACAAGCTGAATTCATCCATCTAAGCTGCACTCACATCAAGAAACAGAACATTACCAGCCCCCTAGAAATCCCCCTTAATGTTCCTTTCCAGGTATTACCAGCCCTTCCCCTAAAGGGTAACCACTATCCTGACTTCTAAAGGCATAGATTAGTTTTTAGTTTTGCTTATTTTTGTTCTTTGTACAAATAGAATCATGCAACATATTTAGTTTTTAGATCTCACTTCCTTCATTCAACAATGTATTTTTTGAAATTCATTCACGTTGGTGCATGTAGTTGTAGATTAATTTATTTTCATTTCTGTGTTGTATTCCATCATACAAATATGTCCCAGCTCATTGATTCATTTTATTTTTGATGAGCACTTTGGGAGTTTTCTTTTTGGTGCTATTAGTGCTCCTATGGACTTTCTTTTAAATGTTTGTTAGTGAGTGTAAAGATATATTTCTGTTAGGTTTATACCTAAGAGTGGAGTTGGTGGATCAGAAGGTGTACATATGTTCAGTTTTAGTAAATACTGCCAAAGAATTTTTAAAAATGGTTATACCAATTTATACACCATCGGCATATGAAAGTGCCAGTTGTAGTTACTGCAGGTCCTTGCCAGCACTTGGTGATGTTCATTTTTCATTGTAACTGTTCTGGTGGCTACATAGTGGTATCACAGAATGATTTTAATTTGCACTTCTCAGATAATAATGAAGTCGAGCATTTGGATATTTCTCTTTTGAAATGTTCTCTTTTATTATATTTAAAACATATTTTCAGACTTCTGCCTTGAACTTGGCAGAGAGAAAATGTCTCTTAACTCTTCTCTCTTGAATGTGTCTGGAGCTAACAAGAAAATTAAACGATATAGACATGAAATAAGCATTAAAAGTCAGGAAGCAAAGAAAACAATTAGAGAGATGGATATAGGATGAATTCCTCATTTTTATAGCTAGAGTCACAGATAAACTAAATAATAGGTAGATAATAGAAATATCATTATGTGTAAACTTTTAAGATAGACACCTCTCAGAGAGGGTCACACAGGAAAGCTCAGTTATATGATGTTTGCAAGGATGGGCGAAGGTCTGTGAGCTAATTCAAAGGGAAAGAAAGCAGTGCAAATACAGCATTATTTGAGCCTAAAAAAAGCACTTTTTCTTTACAAAGAGTGCAATTCATAATTATAATCAAACATGACATGAGCTTTCATAAAGGAAAAAAAGAACAACAAATCTTTAGGAAATAGCAGGAGACAGAGCCATACACATATTTGTCACAGGGAACTTGAACTCTTCTTTTTCATTTCATAAGAGCTCTCATAAACACAAATAAGTGAGGACACAGCATATTTCCATGATATAATGGAAATTTTCTTGAATCAATACAAACCAAGAAAAAGATTGCCAACTCATGCAACAAAAGACTACTTTCCTTATGAGAAGAGCTATTAAAAAATAAAAAAAGATCATGATCCGACAGAAAAGTGAACAAATAATATGAGCACAGTTCATAGGAGAGTTTCAAATGGCTTCTAAACATGTGAAAATATGCTAAATGTCATTTGAAGTATAGTAAATGCAAATATTAGTAGTGAAATGAGTATATATATGCATATGGATTCATAGTTATCAGAATGTGTATTTTACTGTATGTAAATTATCCCTCAAAGTTCTTAAAAAATGAGATGTTCTTTTCACTTATCAGATGGGCAAAAATCAGAATGCTTGATTACATAGTATATTGGCAAGGGCGAGAGGCAGGAGGTGCTTGTGTATGTTGTTAGTAGAGTTATATTGCTGCAGTTCAATACATGAACTTAATCTGAATATTATTTAATCCTGAACATTTTTCTTCTAAACAGACACCTTGCAAAGAATAACTTAATTAGAACTATTGTAATTTTACCAAACATTTAAAAAGGACTTAGGAAAATCTTTCTTTATGGGTGTTTTACAGTAATTTTTCAGAAGTCATGATGGTCATGGTAGCCTGCATGCCTATATTCAGTCAGTTGTTGTCTCCCTAGTTGATGATGTGGTAAGAATGTTTCAGCTTTGATCATAGATGAAAAATACCAGCAGTGGAGTCCGTAAAATTAACCATGTTATAAAGGGGTTACTAATTGTTTTGAAATTATCAACCATATATAATGGTGCAGTCATTGTAATGTCTGCCACTTGCTTTTCTTCAATGAAAAATATTTATTGAGTGCTGTCTGTGCCAGGCGATGTGCTTGGTGCAGTGACCATTGAAGTAATGTGTTAGTAAAGCTCCTTTTATTTCACTAAGGATGAATTTGACCTTGGATTAACTAGCTGGTTTCATTCTCTGTAAATTGGATAAAAACAGGATGCCAGCTGTATAAGCAGGCAATATCTCTAATGATGAAAATGCCTCCTAATTGGTGAGTTGTGTTTGGATTAGGAAGAACTATATATAAACTGAATGCCTGTTGAGGAGCCATAGCTTTGGGTTTCCCTGAGTGTGGTGACCCTTATAATAGATGTGTTCCTCCTGAGGACCCTGGAAGATGTGCCCATGGCATTGTTACAGGAAATGTTGGCTCCCACAAGTGTGGACTTCTAAGCCAAGGTGGGCCCCGTGTATGTCTGTGTGAATCTCCACCTCTCAAGAGGGCCAAAGATAATAGCTTCTGGACAGCTGTGGACTACTGCAGAGATCATGCAATGACTTTGCCCTTCCCTGATGGCAGTTCTGCTTTATGCTGAGTAGATGATGCCAAGCATGGCCCATTGTAGTCTCATTAGTCTGAATGTTTAACTGAGCCTAATAAGACCACCTCATGGGTATTATATCTGTTCAAATAGAAATCGAAAAGTAAGTAGTAATGAAAAAAATGTCCAGCCTCTGGGGAAGACAACTTGACAATTTAAAAAAAATCATACATATAGATGACTCAGAAATTCCTTTCTAGGAATTTATTCTATTGATACAGCCATGTATACTGTAGGCAGCTAATATAGGAATAGTTATTATAGCATCGCTGATAAAGCAGATTAGAAAAAAATATTTCCTTTAATAGGGAAGCACTGACATAAATTACAGAATGTCCATACAATTCTGCTCTGTGATGGAATCGGAATTGTTCAAAAAAATCAAGAGGTTTTATTTGTACTAAATTTCCCCCCAAATATATTGTTACGTGAAAAAAGCAATATTCAAAATAGTGTTCATGTTGTTTATGTTTAAAAAAGCAAGAAAAACATGCTTGCATGCGACCAGAATAATTGCAAGTTTACACAGCAAATTGAGTTTAAGAGTGGTTGCCTGTGGGATGGGAAGAGAGCAAAAGCCCCTTTCTTTTTTCTTTCTCATGCTGTCTGAGGGAGCACTGTGTTTCTGCTTCTCAGATTATGAGTTATGAGTACAGACAAAGCCCTTGTGTACCCTGCCTGGCTCCATTTGCCTTTCCTGTCTCGATCTGCCTAGTCCCGCCCAGTTCCAACCTGGTTTTGGTGTTTTTCATTCTCATGTCATTCTTTATACCTTTGTAACATGGATAAGAAAATGGATAAACAGATTATGTATGGTATAGACATACCATGCATGGAATGTCACCCATCAATGAAAATAAATGAGTTTTCTTTGCATGTACCTATCAACATGGATACATTTCAGAAGCCTGTGGTCGAGCAAGGCTTAGGCTTCTTACATTTTTATTTTGTACTTGTGCATATTCAAGATGGATGACTCCTTTAGGATCTAGGGATTTAGATCATGCTTGATTTTGTTAAAATGTCAGTTATGTTACATGTTTGTCTTTTTCTTGCTTTGTGATTTGTATTACAAATAAATGTAGGTTTACTAGGCTGCCATGGTTTTGAATATTATGATATATGTAGCCCATGGAGTAAAGACTTACTTAGTGGTGTGATAGACACTTTTTGGGGGGTGTGGGGCAATACTTTTTTACCTGTATTTAATAGTTTATTTGGCAGTTTACTATATCATGGAGAAATCCTTCCTCTAGGTTATTGCTGTTTGTTAATTGCTGCTTTCTTATGATTTAAATCTTAGATTGCCCTGTTAGACTCCCCCACAGCTTTAAGTATGGAGGAAAAACTTCAGCAGAATGAAGCAAGAGTAAGTGATACCTTGATTTCATGTTATTTTAAAATCATAACGTTCATTATTAAATGCATGCTTTTTATTTCTTGCTGTTTGAAACATTTTATTTTTTTGTTACATTTAACATTCCCCTGCCCCCATGCTGTGATATTTTTTAAAGAAGCACAATATTTGACTTTCTATGTATTTTATCACATTCTTTGTCTTAATAAATGGTGTTTCTCTGGCACATAATCGTTAGGTGCAAGCGAAATTCACATGTAGATGAAACAGGCCGCTCGGGCCTTTAGAGTAGATAGACCGAGGGAGGCCATGTTCAACATTCAAGAAACAGCAGTGATCTTTATAGCTTAACCATACTTAAACCATGACCACCCTTTAGTTTTCTGTCATAACTTTTACTTCATTTCCAGTGGGAGGTGGAGCATTTGGGGAATCTTGAAATGCTCCAGGTAGATGCTTAGTTTCCCTTGTAAGCCAGGTGGGATTTGAGGCAGGAAGAGAGTGGCTCTAGAGGTATTGTGGGCTGAAGCCAGCATTTGTGTGCTGGGGCTTTTTGAAAACCAGTTTCATGACTGATTTGGTTCTATCCTATTTTTGTTTTGAAAAAAAAGTAACCCTCTATGACAAGAGAAATAGTTGTTAAGAACATTTTTGGAGTAGATTTTGTTCACTGTGCTGAACGGTTAAAACAGGCTGAGAAAGAATTGGATTCAGTTGGTGAAGCCCTTTCAAGAATATACAATATTGAAGATATAGATTGGGGTGTAGTTAGGAACTTGTTGACACTTCCCTGGATAATTATGCTAATTAATTGGCTGGTAATAGCATTAGTAAAATCATTAGTTTCTTAATCCTTATTTTTCTCATGAAATTTTGTATTTAGTACCTCAAATTCTAATTTTGAGTGCTTTGAAATGTCTGGAGATAGTCTTAAATTATTTCTTAATAGTAGTTTTCAGGAATACCTGGCAAGTTAATAGAAACCAATAAACATTTTAATTTGAATGCATTATACATGCTGTGACTGCCTATCTTGTTCAGAACATTTTCTAAATTTTCATCTATTTTTTGGCTGACCTTTTAAAATTGGTTGCCATCTGCTTGGCTATAAATCTTACTGCCTGGTCATATTGTTAGAGGTGGTGTCAACATGTTTGCATTTTTTCTTAATTTTGTAAATGAAGATTATTTGCTTTAAATTCAATAGTAAAATAAACCCAAAGCATACTTACAATTTGTTTAAAGGTAGAATTATTTGAATGAAGTGGAAAAGGATTGATTGGCTTCTGTTTCTTTAGGGAAAACATATCTGTTGGTGAAATGCAGAAGCATTTATTTTTGAACGCTTTGTGCTTCTCAGATAAATTGCCATTGAGAAACTGTTAACCGATGACTATAAATTAGTAAATTAGTAAATTCAAAACACCTGTCTTTTCTCTTCTGTAGGGGGAGAAGGTACGGTATAAGAATATTCCTTCTCTGAAAGCTTTTCCAAAATGAGAGCCCTGAGAGCCATGTGACTTTTATTGCTGTCTTTAGAGTTTGCGGGGTTGGCACCACTTGAATGATGAGGGATTGGAGTGTATGACTGGTTCCAGAGAGATCAGGACAATCTTATCAAACCATAAAAAACAGACAAGAAATAAAGTTGGAGAGGCTCAGTACTGTTTTGTTTTTTACCAAGAGTATGATAGATTTTGACATTACTAGTAAAAAAGAGACATTATTTGAAGTTCGAAGTCTTACAGCCCTATTATAAGTAAATTGAGAAGTAAAATGAAAGACCAATTCAATATAGGTGGGTGAGATAGGTTTTGGTTTTCCTCTTGGATAAACCATCAGTCCAGTTCTTCCATTTCTTATCAGTAGCAAATACTTTCTTTTGTGATGGTTGCAGACACGATTGCCCTTTCCAGTTACTTTACTTAATATTAAGTGTGTAGAAGGGAGCTTCCTCTTAGTGCGATAGTCCAAGCACATGTATTCCATGCATTCATTTTGTTCAGGTTAAATAAGATAACTTATGAGAGAGACGACCAGTAGGTGTAAATGGGATGATGTCTGCCGTTGGGAGTGGGGAGGTGGCAGGAGTGCTAAAGTAAAGATAGGAAAAGGCTTTGAAAGCATGGGGTCCCCCTCCTCTGCCTCTCAGAAGTCACCCTTTTAGCCTTAGGTATACTCTTTTTCATAGGACAGATTTTTTTTCTACCTCTTAATCAAATGTCACTTTTTGCTTCTTAATGAATTACTCACTAGGATCATTTAAAAAGTTTTATGGAACTAGTAGAATATTATCAATAACTTTGAAAAGCAACTTACAACTGTGCTATGTTCAACAGTTGGGGACATTATCTTCCCTAAGTTACAGCAGACTGGAGAGAAGCTGATTTTTATCAAAAGATTTTGCTTTTACTAAGAGTAAATTTAAAAGCACACTCCTTTTTTTAAAGCTAGAATGAAATTTACAAACCTTATTAATAGCTCTAAAAGCAGGTAATCTCCTAAAACTACAGCACCCAGATGATTTAATCTCCACATCTAATGAGAAAGAAAAGTTAATCACAATTTCTTAGGACCTAAAGTATAATCAGGAAAAATTAACCCATTTAGCAAGAGATTGTCATCCTTGAACTTGTAATTTTTCTTACTGTTCCAAGGAAGGAGCTTTTATTTAAGTATACCATGAAAAAGACTGTTGTAAAACTCTAGGAAACTTGACAATTTTTTTTTATGTTCTTTCTTTTGCCATAATATAGGTTGTAGGATGAGATCAGCTTGTTTGATTTATATTAGGTGATGATTCTTTTGGGAATAGAAATTACTATCTAATTAAAAATATGTATATAGTATATCCTTCCATAAAGCTATGAGAGTATGGAAACTTTCTAGAAGAAAAATTAGAATAATTTTTTTTTTTAATGGAGCAACCACTTATGTATATTTTTCCTTTTAGGTTCAAGAATTGACCAAGGAATGGACAAATAAGTGGAATGAAACCCAAAATATTTTGAAAGTAAGAACTTTAAGAAGGTGTCTTAATTTTACTATGCTGGCTTAAATAGGTAAAACTTTTTCTTTCTCCCTTAAATATGGCTGTGTGCTTTGCTTAAGGTAAGATCAGTGGAACCAATGACTGACTTTTGCGGGGTTGGGGTTCTGGTTTGATTTTGAAGAAATGGAAAAGGGAGCTATTGTATGTTAAAGCTGTGTGTTTTAACATGTAGAGATGATGTTGATACCTAAGGTGTTTGGTTTCACTTGTTGGAGTTTTTCCATTTTTGTCAGCACGTATTAAACTCCATTTAGTATTCAAGGGCATCTACTTTACTTTTCTTCTTTTGTTAAACCCAGTATAAAAGCAGTGATGTTAAATTAAAAACAAAACAAAACAAAAAAAAACCACTTCCTATGGTAGAATTGTGGTGTATGTGTGCATAACATGGCTAGATTTCAGAAATTGCTAAACTAGTAATTTTTTATTGGAATTTTTTTCTATATGTCTCAAGGGCTAGACAGAGATGGTCTGCATTTGTCAGGACTCTGTGAAAGGACATCAGTAATGGCTTCCATTCGTCACACCCTGTGCTTCAGATTACATGTTTCTTTACGTTCCCCTTTTTTTGCTGAGTTGGTAGAAAACCTGTGTGTGATGTCTGTTGAGGTTCAGAATTAAACTTTTTGCTTTGATGGAGTCTGTCTGACTTTATGCATGAGAGACTGTGATCCACAGGCTGTTGAATTCTAAGTTTGTTTTTGAGGTCTGTTGAGGTAAAACTTTCTCAAAGGATTAAAATGCCCCTCTAATACTGACAAGGCTGGATAGATGAGGTTTAGCTACATGTCTTGGCAGAACCTTAACTTGGATCCCCTTCCCATGAAAATAGGGCACCCAATTACCATTTTGTGGGGGTAAACTGTAGAAGGCTTGGCTAAGCCATTTAATTCTGCATCTAATAACTGTCTTGGAAAGTGGGGTCAGCATTATGTAAAGTTTTTCTTGTACCAGTTTTGCAGCTCAGTCCACTCTGGGGGTTAAAAAGACTTTCTCATAAATCAGAGTTTGTGTTGCATTCTCAATGGTGGTGGGTTCTGATGGTCTTAGACACATTTTTTCCAGTTACTGAAAATATAGTAAGGGAGAGCTTCTGCCTTCAGGCTTTCTTTTTTCTCCTCCTGATTATGATGATAATAATGTATTACTTTGAGGTATTTCTTCACAGTTTCCTTTGCTGAGAGATTTTTGCACAGGAAACTGAAGAAGGACCTGACTCACATTTCAGAATAGTCAGGTGTGGAATAAGTACCACCAAAGCTGTGAATATTTCCCTTTTCATTTCAGTTGCACTAACTCTGAGAAGCAGTGCTGCAGCCCTAGACTTATGAAGCCAAGTTGTTTGGCCTTTCACGCACAATGTACACTTTCCTCAGTAAATCTGCCAAAGAGGGAGGGCTTAAATCTGCTCCATTTAAGGAAAAGAGAAATCAAGTAGCTATTTGAAAAGTCGTTAGTGTACACTGTGCCTGTTAGCAGAGGAGGCAATGCAGCAGTGAATTGAAGGATTTCAGCCTGATCTCTTCTGCTGCCCGCTCTCCTTGTCACTGTAGTGGTGCTTTTGTAACACTCCCTGCAAAGGTATCTACACGAAGCGCCACCGTGGTGAACCCCTGAACTTTTGCTTTTTTTCATGAGGAGATTTTGGGCCCTGATGCTGAAATCTTTTTCTAATTCCAGTTGTTTTTCATAAATTGTATTATTTTTATTTTTTATAAGTTTTCAGATGAGAAGAATAGAAATGTGATATGTGCTAGGTGTTAAAGGTTATGAGAAAGGCTAATGGCATTTCAAATTATTCCCTTCTTTTGACCATGCAAGCCCATTTTAGATTTCTCTGCTGGTGTTTGTGCTTTAAATCTGTAGTTCTTTCCTGCTTACATTTGATAAGGGCTGTCTTCATCTCTTACTGGAAGACAATGCCTGAGTGCTGAGGTGAAGAAGAGGGCTACCCAAATGTTTTTGAAAATATTAATTGGAAACTGATGAGGAAAGAGGATGTTACTTGATGAGTTCTTATCTATGTGGTTTGCGTAATCCTCTGCTATATTTCTGCCATCTGACTGTTCCTTTAGCCAGCTATTGTCCCGGTAATGTTGCATAGAACCCACTCCAACCCACTGGCTTAAAAAAATATTTATTTTATCTCGTGCTTTGTGCAGATTGGTTGGGGGTTGGCTGGTCAAGTAGGTTTGGCTGGGCTTGGATCCAGGCTGTGGGTGGGTTCCAGGTTTGCTCCACATGTCTCTCGTCCTCTGACCAGCTGGTTGTCAGGGTGTGCTCTTTTCCTAGTCTTGGCCAAGGTACAAGCAGGCGGCCTTGTCATGCAAGCACATTTCAAGCTTCTACTTATCTCATGTCTGCTAGCGTCCCACTGACCAAAGCAAGTCACTCGACTGAACTGAAACTTAAGGGGGTACGTTTCACTCATAATAAGGCCATAGCAGGGGTGTGATTGTATAATCCTACTTTGAGATCATCGGTTTCCTCTAAACATCTCTATGTTAAAATAGGAATCTTTACATTCTGGGAACTTGTTCTTCTACTGAATTTGCCCATTTTGTAGAGACAGGCCCAATGAAGCAGTATGTTTCTACATTTATCTTCTTTATCAGGACCCGGTTGTTTACTCTGCCCGTTTGTTAATCATCATCCTTTCTAAGACTGAAATTCTGAACATCCAAGGAGAGACCTTTGGGGAAAAGACCGAGAGAAAAACATCCAGGGGGATTGAAGGGAGATAAAAGGACCTGTTGGGTGTTTTCGGCACAGTGAGGACCTGCCTTGGTTTTTCTTTCCCAACTTTATTGACAGGTAGTTTCAGAGAAAACTCATAGATGTTTTTTGAAGAGACAATTAAAAAACTATTATAAGCCATCTTCTCAGTCATCAGAGTCATGTTCTTTCTCATTGTTAAGCTGTCTGTGATGTATGCATGTATTTCCTATTTCAGTTACAAGACTTAAGATTAAGTTGATAAGCGTATATCATGAGCTGTTGCTTCAGGAATATATGGGAGCCCCTCTCATGCAGGGATAGGAGTCTCAAATTCATGTGTCTCATGCAGGGATAGGAGTCTCAAATTCATGTGTAAGGCCAAGGTCCCTTAAAGTCAGAGTCACTCTTGAAAAAATCCCTTAATTTCCCAAGAAATGACCAGATCATGAGCTCTTAGATGCTCAAAAGTCAAAGAGTAACTTTATTCCCTTCTTTTAAATCTGATCTATGGCTTTCCTTGCTCTGCATGAGTGAAATCCAAGATCATGTTGAATTGGGGTGGAGAGGGCGAAAGGCTGCTGGGTCTAAAGGCACCGGCTGTTCTCAGCTAAGCTGGTAGCTCCGTGGTGATAAGGGTGGAACCTAGGGCTTTTTTGGTCTTTAGAACTTGGAACTTAGGCTTTGGTTCTATTTCTGATTCACTAGGAAGTGACACTTGTCCACAGCTGTCACATACACAAGTTCCCAGCTTGGAAATCAGGGTGGATGGCAACCCTTTTCTTATATTCAAGTTAACAGGGTAAGAGATAATAAAGTGCTTGGAGTTATTTTGAAAGTAGCTAGTGACAATGGAAACTGTGCTTATTTTAAAGAGGCAATTCTTAGGCAGTTAAGTAATGAGAGTTTTATTATCGTTTGCAATGTACTCTGTGTATCCATTCTCTTACCTCTTAATCTACCTTCTTCATTTTCATTAATCTTCATTTTCTAGAAATTCAAGTCCAAACTCTTGCCTGGCCCCCACTGATTTTCTTCTGATTTTCTTCTCTGTTTCACATGTCCTATCACAGTTTTCTCTGCCCCAGCACCCCCAGCACCCCCACCATGCCCTGCCCTGCCATATGTCTTGCTGGTCCCTGTACAGACCTGGGCATTGGGTGTTTTGGTGTCTCTAGTCCTTTGTCTGTGTTGCTCTATCATTCGAGATACTTCCCCTTTCTATGCCTGTCAGAACCTACTTTGAAACTCTGATGATTCCTCTCTCCCACCTCCCAGGTAGAATGATATTGTTTTTCTCTGGCTTTTATAGCATTCGATTTTATTTCTGTCACAGTATCCATTATCATCTGAGTTTGGTGGTCTTGGGGTCTCCCTCTAATCAGGAGGAGGATCTGGGCAAGGACGGGCTCTATCACTCTGTGTACCAACTCTTAGGATACTGTTTCTCACCGAGAAGGCATGCAGTGAAAGTTTACTGGATTAAAATAGTATCAGGAAACCAAAACAAAAACCTTATATTAATTTGCTAGGGCTGTCATAGTGATATATTACAGACTGAGTGGTTTAAATAGCAGAAATCAAAATCAAGGTGTCTGCAAGTTTGGTGTCTCCTGAGGCCTCTCTCCTTGGCTTGTGGACGGCCACCTTCTCTTTCCTCACATGACCTTTTCTCTGTGTGCCTGCACCTCTGGTTGCCTTTTGTGTGTCCTGATCTCCTCTTCTTACAAGGACACCAATCAGATTGGATTAGGGCTTACTCTAATGGCTTCATTTTAACTTTTAATTATCTCTTTAAAGACCCTCTCTCCACAGGCAGTCCCATTCTGAGGTCCTGCGGTTAGGGCTTCAACATATAAATTTTAGGGGGATGCATTTCAGCCCATATCAACTTTGAACCATAGAAATTTGATAACCTGGTAGGAAAAGTAGAACGGAGTGTCATGTAGACGGCAGTGTTGCCCTAGCAGTGTTCCCGCCTGAACCCTCCACCTTACTTCTCTCATTCCTATTTGGAAGGCTTATATATCACTGTGATTTTTACTCTTGGAAGGAATGTGGCTGAATTTCTTTTGATTGTGGTCTACTCATTCATTCTGCTCATTCATTTGAGTCAGTTAGATCTTTGCTGTTCTAAGTGTGACTCCTGGACCAGAAGCATCAGCATCCTCTGGGAGCTGGTTAGAAATGCAGAATCTCGGGCCCCACTGCAGACTTCCTATGTCAGAATCTGCATTTTAATAAGA